TGTGCCATCCGTGTCCTCGGACAGTGTTGGCAGGGCAGCGCGTGGGTACTCCATGCTCCATCCGCAGCCTTGGACAGTGTTGGCAGGGCAGCGCGTGGGTGCTCCATGCTCCATCCGCGGCCTTGGACAGCGTCGGAAGGGCAGCGTGTGGGTGCTCCGTGCGCCATCCGCAGCCTATGTGAACTCACAAGGTCCTGAGGGTCACAGACCACACCCTGTGACAGCCTCAGCTCCCTTGTCACATCTCCGGCATCCTTGGTTTGTGCTTGCGTGTGCAAGGGACTGTGCGTTACGATGGTGGGGGGATTTCCCAGGCTTGCTTCAGATGCTGGAGTCTCCCGAGGTTGGAGACACCCTGTGATCCGGGGCTCTCAGGCATTCAGACAGACTGAAATAACATCGGCTCCCATTCCCATGTCCTCTGAGGTCTGCAGAGCTCTGCCCTTCTAGCCATGTGAGTGCTGTACCCATTGTGTGGAGGAGTCAGCTGAGACTCAGAGAGGATAAGAGCAGCCTGCAGTCACCGAGCAGGAGGCCTTCTAGCTGGTCACCTCTTTCCAGGAAAAAGGTTTTGCTAACCAGGGCAGCCCCACTAGCCTTGGATTCCGAGGGCCTAAATTCACATCTCAGCCATGTCAAGCTGGGCGGGTCCTTTCTCTGCTCCAGGCCTTGGTATTCTCATCTGTAGAATGAGAGGTTGGACACTGGGGCCTCTGACGGCAGCCCTAAGCCTCTGGGGTGGGGTGCAGTGGACGGCCAGACTGAGCTGTGTTCAGATCCTGCCTGTTACTTTCTGGCCTAGCCTCAGCCTCCTCTTCTGTTAATCCCGTAGAGCTTCTGCACGCGGTAACTCTTGGGCCCGGTGAATGAAACAGCGCCTCGTATGGTGCCTGGGCAATCCGGGAGCTGACGTGTCTTATTTGTCAGCAAGTTTTCCTTTGGCTCCTGGGGGTGATTTCTGCCATTTGCCCAACTATTTCCAACCCTGTGCTCAGCATCACCACGCCTCCAGGCCCCGGAGCTAAGTAACCTGCCACGCAGAAGATAGATACTGGAACCACGCCCTTTGTGAGGCCTGGCCAGCCCCTGAAGCCACTCCCGGGACGGTCACTGCTAAATGGCTCCTGGTGCCAGACCCATAGCCTTGATGAGTGAGAGCTGAGAGAGGAAAGGGCAGCTCCCTAGGGGAGCCGGGACACGGAGGGCGAGGAGCGTTTGAAGAGAGGGGAGCTCTCCTCCATGCTGGTCTAAAAGCAGAGGCTGAGTTAAGTAAGTCAGGATTTTGTGGAGGGCTCTCTCGTTCGGGTCTGGGCCTGCCCCGGGATTCTGTGCTGCTGGCCCAGGATTATCACAAGGCTGCTGAGACCGCTGTGAAGCATTCCAGACAAGAGACTTAGAGGAAGAAAGGCCAGGCTGCTCAGCAAGATGGCGGGGAGGCCGGGGGCCTTGAAAGCCAAGCAGAATTCCATGTTCCACAGTAGGTTGTCGTGAGAGGTGGCTGGGCAGGAGAATAACATGGCTCTAATGAATAAGGAGAGTGAAACATGGGGTGCATTTGCAGGGGGAGGCTGGAGGCTGCAGCACCATGTTAGGAATGAAGGAGGCAAGAACTTGGGTTGGCATGGACTGAGGGGCCGGCCTCCTGGAGGAAGGCATGGCGGCCCGTGGCAGATGACCACATCTAGAGCTGAAAGGGGCAGTGGAGAAGAGTGGAGAACTCCCCAGAGTTAGGGAAGCTGCTGGGGGGAGGGAAGAGGGAGGTGGAGACACGCTTGTGTGTGGGCAGAGCTGGATTAGGGCAGATTCCACACATAAGTGGCACATAGCGGAGGCTGAGCTGGCCTCAAAGACGGGGGACCTGGGTTCGAGTCTCACCTCTGACACCTCCTGACTGTGGCAGCCCCTCACCTCTCAGTGCTCCAAGCAATTCTCTTAAGACCCTCGAGTCAAAAAGAAGCTGCCAGCCTCTAGCAGGAGAGGGGGTCCCCCACATCAGTAAAGTCCAGATCCGCGCGTATATCGTGTCTACAGTCTGTACTGTGAGGTGCCAGGATTCTAATCCCCATCCCTGCCTTAGCCAGAGGTGTGAGGAACTCTGGGGGCCAGTCAGCTGCAGCACTCAGCCCGTGCCCCCAGGGTATTTGGGAGGCCCCTGACAACAGCTCAGCTTTCAGAAGATGAGCGGAAGAGAAAAGTGCCCTTGGAAGGCTTCTCACTTTCCCAGAATTCTCTTCGTCCAAAGGCTCTTCTCCAGTGACTGGCATTTTCCAGTCCGAGTGTGACCCTCGGTGTTACGGGAGAAATAGAGGCAAGCCCTTCCCTCCTTGGACTCGGAGGAAATGGCCTCGTTTCCTCTGACCAGCCCGAGTCTCTGCTTCTCTGCAAGGCCCCGGGACTCTCAAAAGGCTCGCTCCTGCGGGATGCAGGGCCCCGTTAATGCGTGGGTCCAGTTCTGAGGCCCCTTCTGTCTGAGGAGACTGAAAACCCTGGTCTTCAATCAGTCAGCAGGACCAGACTGGCCTCCGGGGAGACGCTGCCCTGGGGAGACGCTGCCCCCGGGGAGACGCTGCCCCGGGGAGACGCTGCCCCTGGGGAGATGCTGCCCCCGGGAGATGCTGCCCTGGGGAGATGCTGCCGGGGTGGTTCCTCCCACTCTTTCCATCCACCCTGGCCCCAGCCCGTTCTTCCCCGACCTTCGTGTAATCTTGGCTCGGCCCAGCCACATACGTTGCTTTGGTTTGCTTGGTTTGGTTTGCTTTTGAAGTCACGCAAAACATTTCCGTGTCAGCCATGTTGTCAGAAAAATCAAAAGCAAGAAACATAAAGAAAGTGAAAAGATTTTGCTTCAGTCGGCATTCAGATGCCATCCGTTCTTTCTCTGGAGGCGGAGAGCATTTTCACGAGTCCTTTGGGATTGTCTAGATCGTTACATTCCTGAGAACAGCTGCGTCATTGACAGTGGATCGACGTTCTCCTGGTTCTGCTCCCTTCACTCAGCATCAGTCTGTGCAAGTCTTTCCGGATTTTTCTGAAGTCCGCCGGCTCCTCGTTTGTTATAGCACAATAGTATTCCATTACATTCATATACCACAGCTTGTTCAGCCGTTCCCTGATGGATGGGTGTCCCCTCAATTTCCAGTTCTTGGCCACCACAGAAAGAGCTGCTGTAAGTTTGTACCTGTGGGTCCTTTTCTTTGATCTCTTTGGGATACAGACCCAACATAGACTTTGGAAATAACTTCCAGGCCCAGCTCAGCTGCCCCTCCCTCCAGGCCTTTCCTGCCCCTTCCCCTCCTCCTGAATTTACTTTGTGTATATTTGTGTTGATTGATCTGTGTATGTGCTGTTTTCACCGTGCCCCTTGAAGGCAGGGACCGTTCCGGTTTTCTCTCTGCATTCTCTGTGTCTGGCACGTTAGGAGTTTCCTAATAAACACTCACTAAGTTGGGTTGGGTTGGTTGGGTCAGATGGAGTTGAAATACCTCCATCCTCTGTTGTGTCCCAAGACCGTCTGTGGGGCTTAGGCCCCGAGTCCAGCAGGCTCATCCATTCTTCTGCCCTCTTACTGAAGGCTAGGTAGCTTGTGATGGGTCAGCCACGGACCTCACTGTGTCTGGCTGGCATTGTTCTCTTCGTTTTACCCCCAGTTTAGGAACACAGAAGGTGATACAGACTAGTCTGAAAGTTTAAAGAGAAGGACTCCATTAATGGCCTTACATCTGACCCACCTTTCTTTTGACTGGTTAAGTCTAAATGGACAGTCGATTTCACCTGATCAGAGAATATTTCTGTATGGCATGAAGACTGTGTGTGTGTGTGTGTGTGTGTGTGTATGCATGTCAGTGTGTGCGTGTGTGTGAGTGTATGTGTGCTCATGTGTGCACTCGCGTGTGTGTGTTCCCAGAGGGTTGGCAAATCCCTCGGTCATTAGGATGCGGCTTCCCGTTTGGCGCTGGGGGATAGCACTGGTGCAGGGCTGGAGAGGCCAGAGGCAAGAAGCTGAGTCCGCTTGGTCATCAGTGCTAATAAAGGTCGAGGCTCATTGGGAATTGAGAGTTCCTGGCGCCCCCCGGGAAGGCCTCCCGCCTTCCTGTCATTAAGGTGTTTCCAGGTGGGGGTTGGAATTGGTGTGAGCCCTTCCTCAGGAGGCCGAGGGGGCTGACTTTGAAGTAAAGGAACAGGGATTCCTGTGAGGCTTGGATCTCAGAAGAGGGATGAGCTTCCCGGCGTCTAAAATGGCGGCCCTGCTTCTCGTCCTTGGCTCCTTGGGAGCGTTCTGCAGAAGACAGGTGTAGGATCTGGGCCCCTGGGCCCTGCCTCCCTCCCTTCCTCCTTCCCTCAGCCCCAGCCAGGCCTCCCTCTAACAAACGCTTCTGCTCTGTTCTAGATTCTGCCTGCAGCAGTGCCCCAGGCTCAGGGCCCAGCTCCCCTAACAACAGCTCCAACAACGTCAGCGCTGAGAACGGGCTGGCCGGCTCCGTCACCAGCATCCAGGCAGAGGTCAGTGCCCCCTCGCTGTTCTTGGAAGGGGAGCCCGGGCAGTTGTGGGGCTTTCCACGAGAGGTCCCCGTGGGCACGTGGCCTTGGGAGACACAGGGAGGAAGCCCGGTGCCAGGGAAAAAGAGAAGAGGACCCCTTCTGCCCTTTGCGAAGACGCAGATACCAGGCTCAATGCTTCCTGGCCCCCTTTAATCACGTGCTTTCTCTTTAAAAAAACAAAACTGAATACATGCTTGGAAATGAAGGCTGGGCCTGCTGATGAGAGCACGCATCTGCTCAGGACTAAGGTTTGGGTCTGGATGACACCTTGGAAAACCTCTCATTAACCCCCCTCGTCTTTACAGAGGAGGAAACTGAGGCCCAGGGAGGAGCAAAGGGGCTTTGGTGGCCATCTGGCCGCTGCACCCATTTTACCATGAGGAGACTGAGGCCTGAAGGGCATTGGGATGTGGAGTCAGAGGACCTGGCTTCGAACCTGGTTTTGTTGCCCACGCCCTAGCCAGCCTCAGTGGAGTCTCTTCACCTCCTCTGAGGAATGAGAGGGAGGATCCTCCTGTGCGCCCCAGAAATGCATCTGGCCTGCCCGAGGCCTCCCCGCGTGCGCTCCAGCCGCAGACTTCGCCACGGCTGTCGGGCTGCTGTCCGGCGGGGGCGGTCTCTTTTTCTTCCCTTTCCTCTCCCCAGCCCTGCCTTTCTTTCCTTCTCCTTCTTCATCATTGGCCCTCTTCTGTCTTTCCTTCATCATGCTTTCTTTCTCACCCTTCCCCTCCTCCTCTTCCTCCTCTCTGGCCTTCGCTTGGTGCTGTACAACTTTCAAGGCCTTTCCCCCTGCCTCCTTTTGCTCAGTCTCCCCAGAGCCGACTTTAGGAGGGACCACTGAGTTTCAGAGAGGTTGTGACTTATCCAGGGTCATACGCCCAGCGAGGGGCAGGTCCAGGTGAAGAGAGCCTCTCCTGGTGAGTGCTCAGCATGTAGGGTTAGGGTTAGCGGCTGATTAATTAATCACGTGGTTTTCCCGAGTTTTGTGGAGCATAGCCTAGGCTGGCCATTCCCAGAAGTCACCTAGCCTGGCCCAAACCTGAGTAAGAGTGAAGGAGCCATCCACACTCCCTGGGAGCCACGCTCTGGCCTGGGGCTATCCCTAGAACTCCCTCTCTGGTATCCTTGGGAAGCATCCATCCAATCTGTGCTTGCACACCTCTCGCGATGGGGAACTCACCATCTCCCAAGGCCTCTCATTCCATTCACATGCCTCTCCTTGCGTCTTTCCTCCTGCATTGCCCTGTAAGCTCTAAGATGATCGCTTTCACCCTGGAGTGATACTCTGGAGGCTGCTCGAGAGCAGAGGTGCCCCCTGGCACAGTGACGCCCCTCCTGGGCTCCTCTTAGGAAGGTGACCAGCCCAGCAGATTCTGGGGCCCTTGTGGGAGGGAGGGCGCTTGGCTCAGAAAACGGGAGAACTGAGGGGCCCCCACTCCGGGCTGTGACGGAGCCCCCAGGGGAGCCGAGGGGACCCCTGCCCCAGAATCGAGTCGCTTCCTTTGGGAAGGAGGCGCGTGGGTGCTTGCAGACATTCCCAACACGACTCGGGTCGCTGAGGCCTGTTTGCCTGTAATGGGGGAGTCACGCAGCTTAATTGGCTGATCTCAGGCTCACTCTTTATGCATGATTTCACTGGGGTTTGTTTGCCTTTTAGCAGAAACTTCTGTCTAGGAAATTGCCTTCCAAACAATCGTTCCCCGACCAATTGTGTGCGAGTGTAAAGCTGGAGATTTTTAGGGCGATTTCTCAGGGTTAGAATACACTGTGCTCTCTGCAGAAGAAATGAAAAATATCATTTTCCATTTTATTCTCCCAGCATGGGGGTAAAAGCCTAGAGGGGGCCAGTGCCTGAACACTGGAGGAAATGCAGACCTGTGTAGAAAGGGGCCCCTGAGAGACCTTGCAGATCGGGGACATGCCCACGTCAGCCAGTTGTCAGCCCTCCCTCTACAGAGTTGAAGGAAGGACCCCCTCCCAGGGCATGGACGCTTCCCCCTTGGATGGAGTGATTGCACAGAACCTTGCGCTCCAGAGTCTGTGTCCCCAGAAATGAAGTGGCAGGTACCCCAAATGGTGCATGCATCCAGATGGGGCTCCCATTCTAAGAACGTTTGCACCCAGAGTGGAGCCGGAGTTAATGGAAAGAACATTTCGCCGTTTTCCATAGTTGGCTGGCCTTTGGGGTCCTGGAACCTCGGGTGCATTTGTGTGCCCACCCTGCGGCCCGTGGATCATCGATAAAGGATAGGTCCAGCCCCCGTGAGAGCCTGACTGCATTGTGCTTCCTGAGAAACACCAATGAAAGGCCTTCAGCAGAGAAGGGGGAGGGGCCCGTCCTGTCCTCATGCTTTGGAAATGGATGTTGTGTGAAGGGTGCCCGTGGGGTCAGAGGGAACACCCTGTGCGCCCACAAGGTGGCCGTGGCCAGTGACTGCCTTTCTCACTTTCCACGTAGGATTTCTAAAGGTCTTTTTAAAAAGAGTCCACAAAGGTATTAACCGCCTCTGGGTTGGCAGCTGCCTTCGGGCTGTCCCCGGCCATGGGCTCCTCCAGCCGTGGCCCCTGCCGCTTCGAGGGTCTTGCCCTATTAGAAAGTTGGCTGTTTTCTCTTTTTCATAGTAAATTGGTCTTTTTACAAGCTCCGCTCTGTGCCCCTGGTCCTGCCCTCTCCTGGTGACAGCCTTTTCCCTCCTTGGGGTGCCATCATGCCCCCTGCCCCACCCCGCACGTCATATTTCCTTCATGTCTGCCCTCCTCCGCTGGCTGCCCTGCTTATCTCTGTCCTTGACCCGAGCTGCCCTCCCCGGGCCTGTGGGACCTCCATCACCTCCGTGACCTCCGCCGGTTTGCCTTGACCTGTTCTGTGAGCCGCCACCCAGGGGTCCTTGGGGGTCTGCTCTCCTGAACCAGACAATGAGAGGGTCACCCTGCCCACCACACGCCCCGCTGGCTTCTCTGGCAGAGGCCTCCCCTGGCACTGTTGCAGAGGCTTCAGTGACTGCCCTGGGGATACCCAGCCTGGATCCCGAGCAGGCCAGAACGCGTTTCTGAAAACAGCCGTATCTCTGCATGCCTGTATCATCAGCATCCTTCGTGAGTCCTGGGTAGTTCATTATCTTACGCGTTTGTGAACATTCTGAGGAGAGGCCCCAGGAGCCACGCGGCTGTCCAAGACCCCCGGACTGAGAGCCTGGAGAAGGGACCCCAGCCTCTGGGTCTGCGCCTAAGGAGGAAAGAGCTCGACCCCAGAGCCTCCGCTCCAGTCTGGCCTCCTCTAGGCACTTCAGCAGCCTCGACAGTCACCTGACCATCCTTGGACCTCAGTTTCCTCCTTTGTGAAGCGAGGGGGTTTGAGCCGGGAGGCCTCCCGGGGCTCCCCCTCCCACCGCCACTCTCAGGGTGGATTTCTCTCTTCTCTTCAGGAAACAAACCCCACTCCCTCCACGAGGAAAAATAGCCAAGCCCCTTCCTGAGGCCAGCAGGCAGTGCAAAGGTTTATCATCGTATCCTCTCTGTCTCCCCCCTGCTACATGCGCGCGCACACACACGTTCATTCTCTCTGTCTTACACGTGCACACTTACACACACACTCACACACTCTTACACACACACACACTCACACTCTTAGATGTGTGGCTCACGTGTTGGCAGCTCGGTGTTGAACCTCGAGGTCAGCACACAGGAAGACTCAGTTGTAATCACATCTCAGTTACTTACCAGCTGGGTGACCCCAAGCAATTCCCTTCACCATTCTCAGCCTCAGTTTCCTCATCTGTAAAATGGGGGTAACCACAGAACCTGCCGCATCAGGTTGTTAGATGTAAATCCACATAAAACGCAGTTGCCCGGAGTCCCTGAGCATATCTGGCGGATCCTTGATTTCCTGGGGGTGGGGTGGGGTGGGGTGGGGGCAGGGCAAGGCCCTCACTTGGCAGTGTTCCTGATTCCTAGGCAGAGACTCAACCCCAAGTCGGGCACTCTGGGAAATCGGCCTCTCTGATCGGTGTCGATTGTTTGATCGCTGACCTTGGTGCCGAGGCACCCGGTGCGTTTTCCCCCAGCACCCCGAGCGCACTTGGAGCGTCCCGGGCCGGGTTTGGGTCCTGCCTCACCTCTGCCGCCTACCTTCTATACCTTTTCCAGACCAGCCTGGCTCATCGACTGGTGACCCGCGACGGCTCCGTGACCCAGCTGCCTCTCTACACGTCGCCTTCCCTGCCCAACATCACGCTAGGCCTGCCTGCCACCGGCCCTTCGAGTGTAAGGACGGCTGGCGCTGGGGGCGGGGCGGGGGTGGCTGTGGCGTCTCTCCGGGGCTCTCGGCGCAAGTAACCCCCCCTGCCTCCCTCCCTGCCAGGGGGCGTCCGGACAGCAGGAAGCTGAGCGACTCGCCATCCCGGCCCTCCAGCAGCGCATCTCCCTCTTCCCTGGCACCCACCTCACTCCCTACTTGAGCACTACGGCCGCCGCGCTGGACAGGGATGGGAGCAGCGCGCACAACCCTCTTCTGCAGCACATGGTCCTCCTGGAGCAGCCGGCGGCACAGGCGCCCTTAGTCGCAGGTGAGTGACAGCAGAGCCCGCCTCGGCGCTCCTGGTCGGCCCACGTTCTAGAGCCGGCTCTCCTGGCCGGCCCACTTTCTAGAGCCGGAGCACAGGCGGAGCCTGCCTCGGTGCTCCTGGTCGGCCCACGTTCTGGAGCTGGAGCACGGGCAGAGCCTGCCTCGGTGCTCCTGGTTGGCCCACGTTCTAGAGCCAGCCTCGGCTCTCCAGGCTTGCCACCCACACGGCCAGTTTGTTTGGCTGTGGACGGTGTTTTCTGCCTCCAGGGAGTCCCTCTATCGTAACGTGATGGGCTTGGCCTTCGGGGGAAACGGGGTGGTCTTTAGTACTGCAGGAGCAATCAATCACATGACTTGAGGGAAGAATCAGCAAGTAGTAACAACCTCAATAATCACTAATGTTTCTCTCACTTTACAAAGCACTCTGTGGGTATTGTCTCCTTCCATCCTCACGACAGCCCTGGGAGGTCGCTGTTATTTTATCCCCTTTTTGTAGATGAAGAAACTGAGGCAAACAGCAGTGAAGTGACTTGCCCAGGGTCACACAACTGATAAGTGTCTGAGGCATCATTTGAACTCGGATCTCTCTTGACTCCAAGTCCAAGGCTCTCTCTGCCGCTCCACTTCCCTGCCCAAATACCCAGGGACCCTGCTGCAGGAGAAGGCAACTGCTGGACATTCTGAGGGGGCAGTGTCCCAGCGTGGGCCCCTATCATCAGGGAGCTTGCAGTCTGAGGCCCCAGGGGGTCACAGTGCGCCAGAGAAAGGGAAGGACCCATGTGAGAGGCCATGGGGGAGCCAGAGGCTGAGCTCATGTCTGGTCAGAAGGCCCAGCAGAGGGTCCAGGGAGGCCGCTTTTCCTCTGTGGCGTGGGTGGACTGCCACCGCCCTCGAGAGAGGCCGCCGTGGCTGAACGTGGTCAGGAAACACGTGGGTGCTCTCCGAGGCAGGCGCTCAGAGGGCAGAAGCCAGCCCGAAGCCAGGGAAGCAGGGGGCAAAGGTGGGACCCCCGGCCCTAAGGTGGAGGACACAGCCGAGCCCAGCCTGTCCAGGGGTCTCTGCTGTATCCTGGACGTGATCTTAGAGGTGCCCCTCGGGGTCACAGGGAGCATCTGCCTCCTCGGTCCCCCTGACAGTAGAGGGCGAGACCAAGGAAGCCCTCGTGGGGGTGTGTGGGCAGTTCAAGGAAGGCCTTGACCTGATGGGGGCTTGTGGAGGGCAAGCTGGGTGCAGGCGACCTCCAGGCTTCCTGGATGCCAGGCTTGCCTTAGAGCCCAGGGCTTCCCAGCGGAGGACAGCAGCCCTACTGTGTGCTGCCTGGGTCAGAGCCCCTCTAGAAAATGGTGTTCAATTTAGGAAGGTCATTGAAGGCCTTCAGTCCATGCTGCAGAAAGGTCATTGGAAAGAACTCGGGGGTTGGGGACAGGATGGCATCACATGGAAAATGAATTTGCTTCTTTCTGCTGGACCCTGGAGTGCAGAGTTAGAAGCTGTGAGTGGACACTGCAGAGACCAGCTGAGGAGAGATGTGTCGGGAAAAGCAACCAGCAATGAGAGGTGGGGATGGAGGCCCCCCTCATTGGGAATCTCAGTGTTGCAGGCGCCCGTGGCCCGTGTGACCTGGGCTGCGCCCCTCCCAGCTCCGAGAGCCCCTGCGCACAGTCAGCCTACTTTTCCCAGCTCCGAGAGCCCCTGCACAGAGTCAGCCTACCACTCCCAGCGCTGAGGGCCGCTGCACACAGTCAGCCTTCCGCTCCCAGCACTGAGAGCACCTACGCACAGTTAGCCTTCCGCTCCCTGCACTGAGGGCCCCTGCGCACAGTCAGCCTACTTCCAGCTCCGATAGCCCCTGCGCACAGTCAGCCTACTTTTCCCAGCTCCGAGAGCACCTGCACACAGTCAGCCTACCACTCCCAGTGCTGAGGGCCCCTGCACATAGTCAGCCTACCTCTCCCAGCACTGAGAGCACCTACGCACAGTCAGCCTTCCGCTCCCAGCACTGAGGGCCCCTGCGCACAGTCAGCCTACTTCTTCCAGCTCCGAGAGCCCCTGCGCAGTCAGCCAAGACTCCTGCCTTGGGGAGGGGGGGTTGCTGGCACAGACCATACTCAGATATCCAGGGATGGAGACGCAGAAGCAGGAGCCGGAAGGTCCAGAGGGGGAGGACAAGAGAGACGGGGGTCTCTGCTGGCGCTGCTCATACCTTCGCTCATATTCCGCAGCCAGCTTCTGTTCTAAATCGATGGGATGCAGTACAAAGACAAGGAGAAAAAGAGGTTTCTCTGAGCAAAGCTCTTGGGAATGCACCCTGAGCTGCCCGTGCACTGATCCCGCTCCGCAGGGCCGGTGGAAAAGCCCTCCTTGTCTTCTCCCGTCTGCCCAGGAGTCATCCTCCTGCCTCATCTGTCTCGGGGCTCTCGGTTTGCTTTGGAAAGCCCCCCTGCCTGCCCCGCCCTGCCTCAGTGCCCGTGGGACTGTCGGGACGGGCAGGCCTTGGTTCAGCGTTCAGCTCTCTGTCGCCATCTCCCCCGCTTTTATGCCGCCGTCTGCCACTGCCCAGGCGGGGAGGCCGAGTAAATGACGCAGATGTCTTTGAAGCCTCGGAGACGAGGACTCTGGTGCCGAGCAGCGGCCCGGCCCCAAGCCCTGGCCCGAGCAGAAGGGCCCCTGTAATCAGACTCGGCACTTTGCTGGGCCTGATGACGTGGGGGGGCCTCCCGCTGTCCCCCCCCCGCCCCCGCAGCGGTCCTGTTGGCAGCACAGAGGCCTTCTGCTTCCTGTCTTCACCTTTAGAGTGAGAGGGAAGGGGGAGGGGGGACTTTCCGTTGTGGAAGCTCCCTCCGCCCCGTGCTGTTCCAGTTGCCTGAGGCACAGTCGGTTCACCACAGAGGTCGTGCCTCCCGATGCCACGCCCGGCTGGCCCTGGTGTCCACCCTCCAACACCCCGATCCCATTTTGTACTCGGTCCCGGGGGTGTTTCCCCACCTCACCCCCTCCTTACAGCTTTTCTCTCCGAACCTTCTCACCCAGAACGTTTCTAGAGTGAGGGTGAAGCTGCCTGGCCAAGCCCCGGGTTCGGGGCCCTCTGCTCAGGAAGGGCGCTGGCCTGGGGCTGCCTGACCTTCTTCACGAGTGGTGTGTGTGTAGGAGGGGGCAGGGCGCAGGGCCAGCGATGCGGAAGCTGTGCCCCGCGGCCCAGGGCGGCCCCGCCAGGGAGGGTCGTGCCACCGCTGCTGCCGCCTCCGCCTCCTCTCTCTCCTCCCCTCCTCTGCTCGGTTTTCCTCCTTGTCACCCTCAGACTGGTGTCTTCCAGGCCTGGGAGCGTTGCCCCTCCACGCGCAGTCCCTGGTGGGCGCAGACCGGCTGTCCCCCTCGATCCACAAGCTGCGGCAGCACCGGCCCTTGGGGCGCACGCAGTCGGCCCCCCTGCCCCAGAACGCGCAGGCCCTGCAGCAGCTCGTCATCCAGCAGCAGCACCAGCAGTTCCTGGAGAAACACAAGCAGCAGTTTCAGCAGCAGCAGATGCACCTTAACAAGGTAGGAGCCGGAGCTGCTGGCGCTCCCCCCCCCAGCTCCCCCGGGGTTCTTGGTGGTCCGTGGGGGGCGCACAGGCGAGGCCGGTCCTGGAGAAGGGAGTGAGACTGGAGATCGATTATAAAGCCAACGACGGTAACGGTAACGATGACCGTGGCGGCGGCGGCTCACGTTTACAAAGGGCCGTGAGCTTGGCGGGGCACTTTACAGATACCGCCTGATTTAAATGTCACAGTGCCGCTGTTTGGAAGGTGCTGTCATCATCCCCATTTTACAGACGAGAAAACTGAGGCTGAGAGGGTGACCCTTAGCCAAGGCCACCCAGCTAGTGATTACTTGAGGCATTGTTTGAATTCGGAGCCTCCAGGCTCCAGGTCCTGCCCTCACCCCACTGGGACATGGGACCTCCGTCCATCAGCTGGTGTGCTTCGAGGGCCTACTGTGTGTGTGGCGCCAGTCCTCCGTCCATCAGCAGGTGTGCTTCGAGGGCCTACTGTGTG